GTTGTACCTCCATAGTTCTGTCTTTCTTGGAGTCCTAAATTCTTGTTTTTTGAAAATATCTGAAAACCAGTACTTGGGTCATATCAACTTAGTTTGAGATGCTTTTTATAAAAGCTTCTTGATTCTACTGCAGCAGCTGATTTTACTTTCTTCTTTCAAGACACACATTTCTGGAAACGCATAAAACTGCACTGGAAATTACTTTAAAAAGTGCACAGCGGCTAGTGTCAGTCACCCAGTGCATTGTGGGATGCTGAGAACCACAGGCTTTATCTTACAAATTGAGGCGAAAGAGGGACTGCGTTTCTCAGCCTTAGCAAACCTTCACTTCGCTGTAAATGAGACTCAACACAGCCAGCTGAACCTTCATCCTCATCATCTCTGTCTTTGAGGGCATTTTGCTTTAATAAGCAGCCTGTTGGTCTGCAAAGAGCCGAGCAGAGCTAAATGAAGTCTGGACTGATGTTGAAGGCAATATAAGTTACTGATGGTATTAGCTTTAATGCTAATTTGCAGCATTACCAACAACTGCAGTTGGCCGTCTTTCCGTTCGTTTGGGCTCGTCACTGTTCTGTCTGCTCTTCATGACGTACTCTATTCTTTTAGAACCTTTTCAAACGGCTGCACCTGCAGTCTGATCCCAGACGGTTCGTCCTCTTCGGCGCTCTGTCATTTCTGTCATGTTGCTTTGAAAAGTCGCACATCACAGTGCTGACTGCCGGACCTCCTCCGCAGCTACAAACAGCTGCCGGTTGGCTCGCAGGCCGGTGCGACTCGCTGTTGTGTTTTGTGGTGCTGATTTCTTCAACGTTTGTCACCGCTTTTGTCTGAGACTTCATGTGTTCACGCCTGAAGTCTAAGTGACACGCTGCAGTGACGGTTGTGGCTCCTCGTTAGATGTGATATGAAAGCGTTTTTGATAATCAGCAGAGTGTTTATCTGTCAGAGCTTGTTCCTGTTGGACTGCACCGTGATGGGAAATACACCTTTTTAGATTGTTTTTTATTTCATGTTAGCTGCACACTAATTATTGTACAGAGCAATCTGAGGAAAAACGTAACACTAATTACATTATAGCACTCAAGTACTGTACTTAAATAGAATTTGAGCTACTCCACCACATCTCAGAGGGAGATATTGTACTTTTTACATCACTACATTTATCTGTCACCTTTAGTAGTTTATCAAGTATGATTGGTAGTTTAATTTATAACAAAACAGTGTATACAAGTACAGCTGAAACGATTAGTCGGCTAAATTAATTAGCAGCTATTTTGATGAAGTAAATTTTCCAGCTTCACAAATGTGAAGAGCTGCTGCTTTTTCCTTTTTTTAATTATTTGAATGTTTATTAAGAACGTTGAGGTTTGGACTGTTGGTGGGACAAAAAGCATTATGAAGGCGTCAACAATGAAAATCAGATGATTTCATAATGAAAATAATTATTCGTTGCAGTCGATACAAAATAGTTCAGAATGAGCTCCAGCTCGACAACTAGAGCTGGAAATTCCTGCTTTTACATGAATGCACAAGGAATAATAATCAGTAAACAGTAATAGGGGACATTTTTCTGCATTGAGTACTTTGAAGTACATTTTCCTGATTTATACTGACAACATTTTCCAAGCAGTACATTTACTTGTAACACCGTTTCTTACAGTGTGATATTGGTACAAAAGGATCTGGACCACTGTTTGACCAAAACACCGCTTACTAGGATGCAGAAAATTCAGACTTCAGAATCTCACAGTAATATCACAGCGGCAGTAAGCGATAGACTTATTCTCACTTCTTTGTTTCAGTTTTAGTCCGACGGAGACGGGCCGCCGGGTTTAATGGTCTTCCTGTAGATCCTGCCGCTCTGCTGTCTTTGTCCTGCACACGCTCTCATGTAAAGAGAAGACTAGACTCTGTCAAGGTTTCTTAAATCCTCTACTCCGGGTTTCTCCTGTACATCGTTAACAAATCGGTTTGCTGGAGAAGCCAGATGGTAACCTGTGCAAATGCCCTGACACACTTTGGAGAAGAGATCCTTTGCAGGCACGAGGACACTTTCCTGGGTCCGTCATGCACATCTGTACGTTTTAGAAAACCTTCAAGGAGCCAATGTAAGCGTACATATGGTTCATATTAATCGATCCATCAGAAAATCTGTCAAACTCTTAAAACTCTTAACATGATAAAGAAAAGCAGAAATCACTTCACAGCTTGAAGAAGAATGGAACAATCAGATTAGTGAAGTGCGTGTAAATGAGTCTGAAATCTCCCCTGATCCTGTTTTACTGCCAGCTAAAGACAGAAAGAAAATTACCCGCTCTCACGCTGAGCAGGGCTGATTCAGGGGCGGATGGCCACCTCCTCCCCCAGGTCGTATTGAGCAGCTTTAATGGCTGCTGTTGTTTCACACTACGAGCCAATCTGGCTGTGCTCCTGGAGCCATCAGAGGACCGTTAGCACACAAACAACAGCAGCACTCCCGCTATCAGCTGCAGTAAAAACAGCCCGGACCTCCCGCGGTTCAGGATGACTCCAGCCCCCCCCCCGCGCTCTCCTTGATGTGGATGCAGATTAGACTGCCGGCATGCGCGGTGAGGGTTTGTCACAGGCTCCGGGCTCAGATTGGCCTCCGGGGCAGGATTTCGCAGGGCTTTCTGACAGGCGTCATGTCGCCTCCCTCTGTTCTGTACGGCTGCAGAGGCGAGCTGCCATCTGGACGCAGCGAGCGAGCGTCGGGCAGGACAAAATAAAGACGAGACTGTTTTTGCCGAGGGTTTTCTTTCCCCCTCCATTCTTCGCTCCTTCATCTGCTTCGCTGTCCCCCTCCAGAGTCTTACGACAGTGTTACCTTCCCAAAAGTCAACTCTAATGAGCCCGGCCTGCAGACTTGGAAGCATTTACTCAACATTTGTTACAGAGACGATCAGTGATGTTCTTGTCTCAGTAAGTCTGACACACAAGTGATCCAGTCCAGCTCATTAAAGCTTTTCCGTTTGCTGCTCTGAATACTTGATCATTTATTTATTGTGAAACCAGACAAACCTAAAATCTTCAGTGGTGTTGGCTGATCCGGTCAGATCCAGTTCATCTCAGAGGTGTTGGATGGGGTTGAGGTCTGGGCTCTGTGCAGACCAGTGAAACTGGGGAAAGCATTTCTGTACGGAGCTGCTTTGTGCACGGGGGCATCGTCATGCTGGAACAGAAACGAGACAAAGATATAAAAAAAAAACACTTTTAAAGCTGATGCTTTAAGATTTCCCTTCATCATCTTTATAACTTTATAATCGTGGTCGACAGATTGTCACACTGAGCATTCACTAAACTTGGACTTGATTCTTTGTATTTAGGTTTAAACCTAAATACTCACGTAGCCGCCGTGATGTCCCCCGTTGGTTTGTGGACCATTTTGAAGCCTCAAGTTTGGCATTTTAGCCGTCACCATATTGGTTTTTTGGACGTAATTCGCGTTAACTGATATTTACCGGGATGCTAATTTTGGCTAGCAAAAAACTGCATTTAAACAAAATGTAATTACCCGTCCTAAAGCCCCCCCTGCTTCCTGGTCTCTGTTCCTCTAAATGGGACCATAATTTACTAAATGAACATCATGCTGTGTTGAAGAAGACTTGAAACTAGTGACTGAGACCATAAACTCATCAGGAAAGTGTTTACTGAGGGAATAAATCAGCTGACAAGTAGAAACATTTTCTCAGAGACTTTTATACAATCACACTTCTTTCTGCAGCTGCTGGAGTCGCCCCCTGCTGGCTGCTGGAGAGGACGCAGGTTTAAACCCTTCTGTAATTATGCTTATTTACACCTTTTATGTCACTATTCAGCCCCTGTACGCAGTCTACAACTCAATTACCAAAGATCAGTCTTGTACTGTAATTAGAAAGTGGCTAGAGTAACACAAAAAACCACGCATGGCGGATTACAATGCTCTGAAACTGGATTTTAACCTCGGGGAACGTGATCACGGCTACAGTTATTTTATATTTTGTCAGTAGAAATACACCTTTTCACTTATAAAGTTATCCACCACGTCTGCTCATATATGATGGATTATGTTGCAGCTCCGGCCTCCACACCAGGACCTCTGTCTTTGTCAACACAGTCTCATGACTGTGAATGAGGAGGCTGCGTGTTTGTGCTAATGATGGTCTGAACACGGCCGGAGGCAGCTTGGAATTATTCCTGAAGAAGATTGTTTTGCTCCTTCCAGTCCTGATGCTAAGCTAAATACATCACAGATATTCTGTTATGAACACTAACAGCTGAAACTAATATTATTCTTCTCACCTGACAGTGAAACACCTTTTCTTTTGTTTTAACGGTAGGTTTGGGCATCGTTTCAATTTTATCGGGTTCCTTCACCACAGATCTTGTCAGCACTCTGTGACCCTCTTCCTCCTCGCTCCTCCTCCCCTTCATGTCTCTAAAGTGAGGAGTCTCTGTCCTAGAGGGACGTCTCTGGGACTCGTCTCATCTGTAGCCATCGTTGGTTTCCCTTCAGTATAAAAGGTGAACATCAGCTCACCTGTGTTTAGAATCCAAACACAAATCCCAGTTCTCGGAAATTTGGTACCGATTCCAACTCCGTTTCTCGATACCCAACCCCAGTAAACGGTCGCTGGGCCTTGGTGGACGAAGGTTTTTGGTCACCTCTGTTTTTTTTAAACAGATTGCCGTCTGCCGTGTTTGATTGACGGGTGAAACAGGATGCAGAAATACAGCATTGAGAGCTAACGATGGCAACAAAAACAAATTTAGGAAAAAGATCTTGTGATCTAACTTTAATGATGACAGTCGAGTAGAGAGTTCGCTGCCATTTGACAGTTCGATTGATCCTCTGTTGCTTTTGTTCACACGGCTCATCAGAAATCCATCTTCCTCTCTTTCTCGTTTTTTATTTGATATCTTGTATATTTATCATCTGATCAGTAATCTCCCCCCGGCCCTGTCGTCTGTCTTCTCATACCTATTTTTATATTTATTTACAGACTGGATTTTCTCCCGAGGTTCCTGTTGGCGTCGTTGACTGCGACTGAGCATCTTCTCCCGTCAGTTTTCCCCACACTGAGATCAACATCTACCAATCTGGTGAGGAACAAATGCCTTTTCTTTCTTCTTATTTTTTGCTTCAAATGTGACACCTTTTCCTCTTCACTCCTTTTGTCTTCCCGCTCAGTGAATGTGTGGGAGTGTGTTACCGTCGGGGAGGAGAAATGACTGCATGTGAAGTGTAAAACTGGTCGAAAGACCATAACGGGTATCAGTTTGTTTCTGAGAAATCTGCACAGGAGGAACACGTTCGGAAACACATGCAGAAAATCCCTGGATTTATTGTTTTGGCTTTTTTGCAGTTTATTTCCTTGCATTAACTTTGACACAAGGAAGTATAACGTGGCATTTCAGTGCCGCAGCTTCAGTTTTCAACATGTTAGAAAACACCTGGTTGAACACAAAGGTCATCTGATAATTAAGGTTGTTTTATTCTGTGCTTTTTTTTTTTTTTTTCTTCTGCTTGAGGAGAAACAGAAGCTGCAGTGGAAATGATTAATGTGCACTCGCAGCGTTGTGGGAACTAATTTAGCACAGCAGTGTGGAGTCTCTACAGAGGAGTAAGCTCTCTAAAGAAATATAGGTAGATCAATACTGCAGTACATGTCGTTTTTTGTAAAGTACATGTTCTCAAAGAATACGACTTATAATTAATGACGTGTGTTATTCACACTCTCTGCTGTCAATCGGCTCTTAAATTAACTTAAATTTTAGCATTTTATGAACATTGCCTCTCTTCTGTGGAGGTACTCTCAGATCTGATCAGTGAAAAGTATCATTAGCAGTTCTGGTATCGCTGAAATGTGTCCTGGTGTCACAATCAAAATGTCTGCTCTGAGCCATCACTCACGTGCATGTGGTTAAAAAGGTTTCAGTGTTTGACAGGTTTAATAGAGACGTGTAAGCAATGTTATGTCCACAATTCAGGGGTATTTGGACTTTGGTTTGATTTTTATATATGAGTATTATATTTTGTGTGAATATGTTTCCCATGAAGCACAGATCCTGGATTCCTTAATCACATCAGGTCCCTGGTTGTTCTTAGATGACTTGTTAAAATGAGATTATTGTGCAGTGTTGGCGTGCTTTTTGTTTTCTCCTGGGGAAACTGCTCGTGAGTCTGTCGTGTCGTCCTGTATGAACACTCATTCGCTGCGTAGGAGAAACAGAAGCGTGGCGGCTGTGTGCCCCTTCAGAGGTGGGAAGCCAAGCAGATGGTCTTCATCCCGAAGTCTTTTCTCTTGTTAAACTAATGCACATTGAAAACACTTCCAGTAAAGCAGTTTCATCTTTGTGGCACTTGTCTTCGTACGTTTTTGAGTGCGGTGTAATGGACTCATTACTGCCCCCTGAAGCTGGAGTGCAGATAACACCCACTGTGGCAAAGTTTCAGTTTTTTATTTTATTTTATTTTTTGAGTATCAGACACTTGGAGGAGACACGCCACTCAATCACATCCTCAATACAACTGTATAGGGAAAGCCCGTAACGGCAAAGATGGCGGCCGTCCCACCCCTCCTGCTAGAAAGCCAATCGTCTGCTTTTTCCCAAGTGGGAAACGCATTTCAGCCAATCGTGTGGTTCCACCGGCGTGAGGGTCTCTATTACGGAAGCGCTGTCGCATGCGTAGTAGAAGTATAACCAGTCGGAAAAAACTCTTCTTAAACTTTATTTTGGGGCAAAGATGTCTTTTTCAGCGATTCTTATCAGATTTTACTGCTGATTCTATTCATGTCGTTGAAAGTGCAGATCTGGCGCTCTGCCCATTCATTTAGATAGGAGCCCGTTCTTGTTAGTCCATAGCTGCCCGGAGGCGTTGCCAAGATGGCGGCCGAGTGGCAGGACTTGCCTAAAAGGACTTTGGTAGGATGTAGCTGCTGTACCAGAGGCTGCAGGACCGGAACTGCATTTGTAGGACCCTTGTTTACGTCGATACTGCCAGCTAGCTGGCTGGCTAGCTAGCAAGCTTTGTTACTCTTGACAACCCCCCCCCCAAAGCCAAAAAACCTAACCCTAAAGATCATATGGTGTGTTCCTAAACCTAAGTTATTGATTATGTGCATGTGGACCTGTTAACCTACAGCTGCGCACATTCTAGCAGACGGGGTTAACCTCCTTTGTGTTGCTGTGCATTACCACCACCAATCCTAGATGGCGTTGTTGCAAAAGAACTACGGTCGTAGAACTGAGGTCCCAATCAGGGTGGACACACAGCTGCCCTGCACTTCCTGTTCCCTGCCCCCCAGACACACCTGCTGGAGATCTGCAAGTGTAATAAGCATTATTGCTTTGTTATGGGTAGTCGGACAAATACAGCTAGCTAATAACGTTAGCTCGTTACAGATCGGCTGCAGTCGAGCGTACTGCAAAATAAATGTGTTTAACTGTTTCCTATACTACTATCAAACGCAGGGTGTAGCATGTGCTTTTAACTGTCCTGCCTTTGATAGAGAAGCAGAGCACAGCGGCTTTCCTCACCTGCTTCTCGTGCAGTGGATAAGACCGTTGGGGCAGTGAACACCTGACCAGAGGCAGGAGACGCCCCAAATCAGAGTGCACTAGGCGGGAATAGAGCTTCTGTTTCCTCCTGGTATTGAATGTTAGACACTAGATTCCTCGCTGCCACCGCCCACCATCCCTCTGCTTTGTTGCACACTCCCTGAAGGCATTTGCAAAATGGCTGTGCTTTCAGATTAGCACTCATTATATTTTAAAAACCCAATCTACAGAGTGTCGACACAGAGCCTGCTGTTTGGTGTGCCCACGTGCACGCTGCAGCAGCTGCTTGAAACGGATTCGTTTCCCAGGCACTGGGACTTGGTTGGAGTTGTGGAAACAGACTGACTGTGCGGCAGTGTGATATAAGAGAGGCGGCGTCCTGTGATCCGTCCGCCTTTACTCCCATGGCTGTAGCACATTATATTAAATAGAGTTTGGGAATTAACGTCCTCTGAAGTCTGCGCGGCACGAGAGGATCCACCAGCAAGACGTGAAGCTGTTGGTTGAATTAGCTGGGGGAAGGGGTGTGTTAGTGTGTGCTAACCCAACATGTGTAGTTCAGTGGTGTAGGCGGCTCCTGGAGGCATCTTGATCCCAATTTAACCAACAAGAAGAGCAAGAGTTTCCCCACTTGATAAGCCAGATGATGCACCTGTAAAACCTCCATCTTTTTTTACACACGCACACACATTTGTACTTGCGTGTGCTTGATTAGCAATGATCATCGCAGTTTATGGAACAGATTTGTCCTTAAGAAATGCTTCTCTCCAGGCGTGGTGCCATTTTACGAGGAGGCGCGTCCTTAAAGACTGAAGTCAGGGAACAAAAGTCCACAATTACATGAAAGACTTTGACATGAACGCCTGCAGCTTTAAGGCCAATTTATACTTCTGCGGTGTAGGCTAGACACTGAGCCTTTTATAGCCTCTTCTTTCACAATGTAAGCCAATGAGAAAATGTCTGGTTTGGCTACTAGTAGAATTAACTTCAAGCCAGAAGCACTTCCTGGGGGTTTGGAGGAAATGTGATGCTACTACATACATCTACATTTATTCATTTAGCTGACGCTTTTATCCAAAGCGACCATATCTGTCAGAGGTCGCACGCCTCTGGAGCAACTAGGGGTTAAGTGTCTTGCTCAGGGACACAGTGGTAGATGTGTCACAGTGGGGAGTTGAACCCGGGTCTCTCACACCGAAGGCATGTGTCTTATCCACTGCACCATCACCTCCCCTACTAATCAGTTCTTGCGTTCTGTGTCGTCGCGGTGTGTTATCACAGTTTTGGGGAGGTGCGCATCAGGCTTTGGCGTAGATTTGACATGAAGTATAAATTGGCCTTTACTGTGTCGCTAATTTTAGGTAGTTATACAGTAAATGCCCGCCTGCTCAGAGGTCAGAGGTGTTATCAAGATGCAGCCTTGACTGTTTATTTTTTTAACTTGTACAAGCGGAAATCTTTTGACTTGCTCACTGACCAATAAGCCTTATAACTAAAATGCAAAATACATCGTTTATCAGTGTATAATGTTAGATAAGTTATTCATGTTTTTCAAGATGTCAAAGGGTTTGGATTAGATTTAGGAAACTAAAACCACTCAGCAGAGGTGCGGGAAAGACTGGAGTCACGGTGAAATGAAACTGTTGGTAGGAAATAATGATAAAGATGATGATTAATCGGGCAAGGCCACCTGCAGATGTGTCCGCAGAGATAGTGCAGGTATTGACCGTTAATCAAGCCGATATCCAGCATTTAGAGATAATTGTCAATGACCATCAGCTGCCCTGCTCAGTAGAAATAGACTTCAGACTTTATTGCCCCAGAGGGGAATTCTTTTTCACAGCAATGTGCATTTAACATACAACAATATCTTTCCCCTCACGTATCATTTCCCAACAAATGTACATCGTAAACAACAATACGACGACAACAGCAGACAGGACTGGTGGAAGCAGGGATCCCTCCGTCCTCATCGCGACACTCCTGGTTCAGGTCTGTTGTGGCTGCAGGTACCAAGCTGTTGCCAAAAGGAGCCCTTCTGCACCTCCGGGACCTGGACCAGCACCCAGAGGGTCGTAGAGTGACGTGGTGATTTAGTGGGTGTGTGATGGCCTTACAATTGAGTTCTGAGAGGTCGGGCGTGGGCAGACCAGTTTGTCAATGGCTGATGTGGATATTTACAGCCGCCAAGATAACTAACATCTGTCGACCACTGGTTTGTAGCAAGTCAACACTTTCACCTCACGATGATGAATCAGTGGCAAACATCACTGTCCTCATACTCTGTGTGCACTTTGTGTCTTGTAAAATAAGCTGGTCTCTAACGGTGTCTGCGCTTTTGGTTCTGAGCAGCTCGTGTACTGTGGCTTTATCTGCTGCTGCTGATTGAAACACTGAGACTGAACCGTGAAGAATCCTCTGTGGGTTTGTCTCGCCGAGCTACACGCTCACGTCACATGTGGTCATTTTAGTCATTGGTAATATAAAAACTATTGATTAGTTGAGCCTTAAATAGTTAAATCAGACCCTGTAGAGAGTGT